GAAAGATGTATGTATGTATGTATGAAGATTTAGATCAGAACCTTATCCATAAGTTGATACTATAAAGTACCATAATATATCATGTGACAAAGGCTCGTTAAATAGGGGGAGGGGCCTTGAGACTTTTGGTGGGTCTAGCTACTTCCCCATTTTCTTTTGAAAAAAATTAGCACGTAGATTGTGTAGCGTAGGGCTTAATTTGGTGCGGGCAAAAAATATTCGCGAAGCTTCTTCTAGGGGATTGGATGCGGTACTTGTACGCCTAGGCGCACCCATTTATTAATCCCCCGAGCAACTTGGTAAAATTGGTACCTAGAAAAATTTAGCCGTTGACTCTTTTTTTTTTCATTAGTGTTTCTAATTTGGCAACGAGCAATTCTCCATTCATTCACGTTCTTAACTGATGTGTCGCCGACGTAACACATATCTAGACTGATGGTTATTGTGAAGCACGTGGGTGGGGGGCTCAATTAAATAGCAGCAAAACGCGTTTCTTCATTGTGTGGGGACTGAACGAAAAACCCACCCGAGAACGAAAGGCCCACCCGAGGATTGCCTACATATTGCCTAGGGTTTCGTGTAGCAAAATAGGACAAGGAACAACGTCGGCATTTTTTTTCTTTTGGGGTTGCGGCTGAGTGCGAAAAAGGGGTTTGTGCAGTCGGCTTTTTTTCCTTCATTGGCAGCGTGCAAGCACGAGCAGATGGGAAAAATCAGAAGCTTTTGTTCTCTCTTTTTAGGCGGCGTGCAGGAGACGATTTGAGAGGGTTTGTGCATCCTTTTGAGGGAGATATTTGTGTGAGGGATCTGAGAGCATGTTTGAGAGTTTAAGTTATGTGATTGTAAACCCTAGTTGTATTCTCTCCTTCTAATAGTACATCTCCCCCCTCCTTGCCCCGTGGACGTAGGCAATTTGTCGAACCACGTAAAATAAGTTTGTCTTGCTTTTGTGAATTGTAATAGTTTATTTAGTTTCCCTCGACAAGTCAGTCCTAGAACTGATGAGAGGAAGAACTGATATCCCACTTTGTTGGGATATTTTGCTTTTGGTTCTTGTTTCCCTGGTGAAACGAGAATTCCTATTGCGACCTAACTCTCTTGTTGTGCTGCCGAAATTTCCGCTGCGTGCAACAGTTATAATTACAGATATGTTGATAATCTAGTGTGAAGACAAAGATGCGTATGACAAGAGCGACGCATCAGTCAAGAGCATAATGGTATATATCAGCTCACAATACTTCAATTCTTTTTCAATATAGAACTGTGATGTAAACATGTGTTTACTACAAATCCTTGTCATCGCAGCACTCTTGATATAAATTTAAATCAATTCAACTTGTTAAACGTCTTGTCATGAATTCACATGGCGCGGATGATCACTCGTCACAAAGTTTTTTCTCGGTGAAACGTTGTTATCAATGAATTAGCATCTCCAACTTATATACACGATAACATGAGACAGTGAAAGCGAGGCATGTACGCATGCTGCGCATAACATAAAAGAACTCCTCGGATGGCACGCGGCGACTCTTCGAGACGGTCGGGGCCGGTGGTGGAGCCCTTGGTTGCGACCTGCCATCTATCTTAATCCCTTCATTTTTATCTATCTTTATTCATAATTTTCTTTTTAATTTACTGATAAATTTCTAAACAATATGTGATGATATAGAACTGGCTAGTTTCCTCCTTCGTTTCTCTCTCCTAAACCAAGTAGAGAAAGACTCCAAATATCATGAATTACCTGTAATATTCGAAGTGAGTGAATCAATCCATTGTGTATAATTTGGGTTGAAAAGAATATTTTCATCGGTGAGATTACGGGAATAGATGCTACGATGCTAAAGTCTGAATTTTTGTCAAGATGTCAACTTCTCCTACGAGCAAGTCGGTCACATTAATATTTGACTTTTATTCGGTATAAATGAGTCATCGGTTTGTAGGGTCGTTAACTCCCTCCTCCTCCTCCTCCTCCTCCATGAGAACCATTGTTGGGATCCCTCCTTAATTGGGAAGTTTTTACAAAATTCTAGAACTGTCTGGAGAACTCTAGAGAAGTGTAGATTTCTCTATAAACGTGTGAAATCCTCTAGAATGTTCTAGAGATATGTGGAGCCTTTTGGAACATTCTGGAAAAGTATGGAATAGAATGGAGGAGTGTAGAGCTTCCTTAGAAATCTCTAGAAAGTAAAGATATGTGTATAGAATTCTAGAGAGCTAATATTCGCCCTTGGATCAAATTAATCCCCACCACTCATTATGAAGATGGAGTAGTATAAATAGGGGTGGAAGCCTTCATTCCTATCCATCCAAGACAAGAAAACAATCCACTTCCTATAGTAAAGGAAAACTTCTAATATAGAGAGTTAGAGAGCCTCTTTGAGAGAGAAGTGAGATAGCTTGAGAGTCCTAATCCTCAAGCTCGAGTGAGTCACCGAAGTGAGACAGTTTTGTAAAATATAAATTCTTGTAATCCTACTATTCTTTTGTATAGTGGAAGAACCTTCATATTAGAGGACCATAAACTCTTGTGCTCCCATTATTATCTTAATTTATAAGTGTCTATCTTAACTTCACGAGGCGGGAAAGACCGTGTTTTCCCAATAGTGGTATCAGAGCTAGGTTCGTCCGAAGTCATCGTTAGCTCGTGAAGTTCAAGATGGAGGATAACGTCACTCACGATGGAGACATGTTCAAGCGCACGGCCAACAACTACTCATACTGGAAGCCGATGATGGATGACCATCTATACTGTAAGGATTTACATGAGCCTATCATCCACAAAACCAATGTAGTAGGCAAGAGCGATGCAAAGTGAGAGCTGCAAATCGGAAGGTCGTTGCTATGATTCGTAAGTATATTGATAAAACTCTCTTTGAACATGTTTCTACTTATACAAATGCTTATGAATTATGGACAAACCTTGAGTCCATGATATGCACAAGACCCGATATCGCCTATGCAGTTGGTGTTGTTAGTCGCTTCTTGGCTAATTCGGGAAAGGAACACTAGGCTGCAGTCAAATGGATCATCTGGTATCTATGCGGTACTTCGAAGAAGTATTTATGCTTTGGAAATGGAAAACATGTACTAGAGGGATACACAGATGCTGACTTGGCCGGTAACATTGATTCTAGGAAATCAACGTCAGTATACCTAACTATGTTTGCAGGGGGAGCCGTTTCCTGGCAATCAAAGTTACAAAAGTGCGTTGTATTGTCCACTACCGAGGCAGAGTACATCGTAGCTACTGAAGCTTGCAAGGAGATGCTGTGGATGAAGAATTTGTTGCTTGAGCTGGGAATAGATCAAAACAGGTATGTCTTGAAGCGTGACAACCAAAGTGCAATTTACTTAGCAAAGAATTCAACTTTTCATTCCCGCACAAAGCACATTGATACACGGTATCACCGGATCCGAGGAGCTCTCGAAAAAAGCACATACATCTTGACAAGGTTCACACAGATGAAAACTGGTCAGACATGATGACCAAGGTAATACCATCCAAGAAGTTTGAAGATTACTGTCAATGTGTTGTTTTGCTACTACGTCTCAATTAAGTCGGGAGGGGGAGATTTGTTGGGATCCCTTCTTAATTGGAAAGATTTTAGAAAATTCTAGAACTTTTTGGAGAGCTCTAGAGAAGTGTAGAATTCTCTAGAAGCGTGTGGAATCCTCTAGAATATTCTAGAGAAGTGTAGAGCCTTCTGGAACATTCTGGAAGAGTATGAAATAGAATGGAGAAGTGTAGAGATTCCTTAGAAATCTCTAGAAAGTAAAGATATGTGTGGAGAATTCTAAAGAGCTAATCTCCACCCTTAGATCAAATTAATCCCCACCACTTATTATGAAGGTGAGGTAGTATAAATAGGGGTGGAAGCCTTTATTCCTATCCATCTAAAACAAGAAAACAATCAACTTCCTATAGTGAGAGAAAACCTCTAATATAGAGAGTTAGAGAGCCTCTTTGAGAGAGAAGTGATATAGCTTGAGAGACCTAATCCTCAAGCTCGAGTGAGCCACCGAAGTGAGACAATTTTGTAAAATATAAATTCTTGTAATCCTACTATTCTTTTGTATAGTGGAAGAACATCCATATTGGATGACCATAAACTCTTGTGCTCTCATTACTATCTTAATTTATAAGTGTCTATCTTAACTTCACGAGGCGGGAAAGACCGAGTTTTCCCAACAACCATATGCCACAATCAACTGATATAAGAGAATTCCTACTTGATTATGATAAGCATTTAAATTCCAAAAACAAGACGTATTACGAAAAAGGACGCTAATTAAAAGTGGATATACACATTTTTTCAATACAAAAGAAACCACAAGCTCCAAGCATAATAATGCCAATACATAAACAAAAGTATATCATCTATCTTTCTTAGGGAAGAAGAATAGAAAACTTTTCTTGTTCATCTGGATCGTAGGAAAAATCTAACTCGTGACACATTAGTTCATAAATTAGCTGACGTTCATAGTTTGACAATTAGAAGTTATCTACTCAAACATTTTAGACGGTTCTTTCATCTAAAACATTCAAAGAAAAAAAAAGGAAAAAAAAAAAAGATTATAACTTTGTTTTGAAACCAAGAAATGTCCAATGCACATTATTGATGGGCGGTAACCAAGTAAACTATTCTCGTGGCATATAAATATTGTTTGTTTGTCACAAAGAATTCGCAGGTCAGATAACACTCGTACACAGTGTGTCACGTGTTGAAAGAATTGGATGAGCTTTAAAAGTGCTTATAGATATCTTCAGTACGAAAAAAAATAATTTAAATTAAATTAAAGAAATCTTCGCTAAATAATTTTTTACCCTTTTTCATCGTACTCTTATATTTGTATTTGTGTAAAGGGTTTTTCTAACGGTTGCCCATGAGAAATTATTAGACAATGAAAGAGATAGAGAGATGAAAATCAAGAGAAATTAGTACAAATTAATATGGTTCACTCTTAGCATTCATCTATATAGACACATGTTAGAAAGACCGTTCCATAAAATAATAAGTTTTGATCCAGATCTTTAATTCTTTTAAAAAGGTACAAAGTTTCTGTGGATTTGGATTTGGATTCGGGCAAGACTGAATAAAAAAAAATCTCACTGCACATTTGACTGCTCCACTTTCCACGTCACCAACCAATGTGCTTTCTAAGAGAGATGCCATTTTAATAAAAAAGGAAAAGGAAAATATCAAACAAAAAAAAAAGGTCCAAACTCAATCCAATTGAGTTCAATTGAGAGTCAGACGACTCAGACAAACAGAAAGCATCAACCGACCGCAAACCAGATGGAGTTCCGGCCGTTTATATCCTATCGCACACGCGTCAACCGCCACCGACTTACTTGGGCCCCCGACCCCGACGGCCCTTTGGCCCACGCTTCACATTAATTAAAAGAAAGAGAAAATTGAAAACTTCATGAACATACTAGCCGAAATGAAAAAAAAAACCCAGTAAATGCTCAACAATCATGGGAAGGATATATAAAACAAAATGCGCCTATCACTATCAATTCTAAATCAATACAACGTAAGTGGTAGAAAATATTCGTATATATAATATTACAATATCAAACAATAGAAATTCAGTTGAAACAAGTAAAATATAAAGGTAACTAGTGTGTGCGCCCCGTGCGCAACACGGCCTTCCCTTTTTTTTATCTCTACAGTAATCCTGTTTTTAATTGCTTCAATGTTTTGAATGCTACGACGTTTATTCTGTTGCTACAGTATTTTTTTTTAAAAATGCAGCATCCCGCCTCTGCTACAGTGATATATTTTAAAATGTTACAGTGATTTTTAAAATAATTTCTTCGGATGCTATGTGCTACAGTAAATAAACCGTGATATTTATTGTGGTGTGAATACTAATTCTTGGGTCCTCCCATTATTATAGAAGAATAGATAAGCAAGAAAAGAAAGGAGACATTGACCAACTTGAAAGAGTATATGGTAAGATTCACTCCATTGATATGTGAGAGAGGGAGGGAGGGAGAATAGATGCAATATGCGCATATAGTGAATAATAATTAAGAGGATATTTGGGGATTTAATTTCAGATATTGTGGGAATTTAGATATAGCTTGGTCGGTGGAAGAGTATCTAGAGAGAGAAAAGGGGGGGAGAGAGAGAGAGAGAGAGAGAGGGAAGGAAGGAGGGCGAGGGAGGAGGCTTTAAATGCTGCCCCCTGTCCTCGTTGAAGGAACCATCACCACCTCTTTCTTCACATGTTCTTATGCCCTTCTATCTTCTTCTTCTCTCCTTAAAATAAACCCTCCTCTTCTCCTTTTGAGGAAACAAGAAACAAGCTTTGATTCAGCTTGGTTCTAGTTTTTAAGTCTTGGGTCGAGATGGAGGATAACAAGAAGGCAGCGAAGGCTTTTGTCGACAGTTACTTCCCTGTTAAGCAACAGCCTAATTCTAAGTTCCCTGATGTCCTCAGTGATCTCTTCCCCCCAAACTCACACCCGGTAATGTGTAGTTTTTTTTTTTTTTCGCTGTGTAGATTGGAGATTTTGGGATTATGGGTCTTTTTCATTTATCCTGTGACATTAATTTGAATTGGGTTTTGTTCTGGTTTGTTAATAATTTCCCTTGTGTTGTGCCTTCAGGATTCTTCTAAGAGACAGGGATGTGAAGGTCAAAGTTGGAAAGCACCTGCAGGTTGATGAATATGCTTATCTTGCTTCTTTGTTTTCTAGGAGCTAAAATTAAAATTCATCTGTCACTTGCTAGTTAACTCTTGCAGAAATGACAAGTGTGATATAACATATGTCTAGATTATTTATTTATTTATTTAAAAAGGTGATGAATTTAATCACTAGCTTCGTTGTTATAGCTAAAGAGTGTCTTATTTCTGATCATTTGTATTATGAAAATCAGGGAACTGTACTTGTAACTGCATGAGGAAATTAGTACGAATTTTGCCATATAAATTGTTGTTTAAGACGGTATATACATTAAGTTTCTTTTTTATATTCAAAATCGAAGCCCTGAAGTTTAATAAGAAATGAATTCTTCAGATGGCTACTCTCAAGGAAAATCTAGCAAAAGCCATACGACATCCCAGAGAAGTGGTAATGCAGTGGTGTTTTGTGAAGTATCGGAACCATGCTCGATGAGTTCGTCTGTGGATTATGGTTGCAGAGACGATTACTACCCTAACCCGTCAACCAACCGTCAAGCTGGAAGTTATGTAAGTGATAAGTGATAAATAATATCATACATATGTTTTCACAATGCTTGGTTATAGATTAAGGTATTTGAAAGATGATGTCAGTTCCTCAACTTTATCGCTTCTAATTTGTTTAGGACAAGCTGGATAAAAAGGATGGTTATTACTATCCAGACCCTAAACATTCAAGAGGAGAATGGTGGCAAGGTAAATTGAAATACCAACGTCTAGGAACAAGATTTGTATTGACAAAAATAGGATGAAATATTTAGAACTAGCTCTTATTCTCTTTTTCTTCCCCTTTAATACAGGTTCACTGTACTATTGAAGGAACCACACAGTACCTCATGCTCCATACATATAGGAAGAAGGTATGGAACCCTAATCCCTTAATGTCATTTATTCTTGGTTCCTGATTTATCTATAATATTTGTATCTAGATTATCTAAGCCCTATAATATATTTTTGCCTTTCCATATCGTGGATTGTTTGTTATATATCTTCCTTATTAAAATTCTGAAGTCTTCTTCAAAGAATTTAAAGAATATTTTAGTGTAATAAGAATTGTGATTATGCTCTGTTTATTGTTGTTTATTGTTATCTTGAGTGTAATTTATGCTAATGTATGATTGTGTTTCTGGCAGTAATGGTACTCTTGGCAAGTTGCTGAAGATAGAATGTTGCTATGTAGTAAATCAAGCTACCAGAATGGAGCAAAGTGGGGATTATTACTAGAAAGAACCAGTTTGATGACACCTACAAGCTGTCACTCTTTTATCCTGTTCAGCTTTTGGTGTGACTAGAAATACTGTGTAGTGTAACAGAGGACTCTTGTAGAATGTCAGCTATAATTATTGTATTAAGGCCCTTCATCTCCCCAACTCACTAGTATGGAGGAGGAAGGGGAACTGTATGTGTGCTTTTATAATGTTCAAGTAAATAATTTACCTTAGTGGTAAATAGCAATCATATGTACATCAGCTACTTGTTATAATCTCATAAATATAAGATGGGTATTTATGTTGCAGTTTCTGCACTATATAGTTTCACTTTGAAGGCTGTGGTGCGCTCTGTATTTAGTTTTGTTGAATTGAGGGTTTCCGAGGTGTGCCGTTTATGAACATGAGTGCCCTAGTGTTAGGTTTAGTTCTCACAAAGAGAAGATGGCAACAGGTGGTTCTCTTAATTGAATGTTAAAGCTCTGCAAGCCATCTAAATTTCGTGAAAATAAATTCTGGATATTGCAAAATATTGGTTGTGTGTGCTACTGAGCAATGGCACCAACAGACTGCAGAGACATGTTGGCCATCAATGATGGAATATGTAACTTGACATCCAATGTATATGTGTGATATCCAGGCAACAGCAAGGACTCACATTACAGATACATCTATAGGATCCCTATCCCCAGTGCAAATTCCCTAGCGGATACAAACAGAAAAATGAAAGGTGAAGTAGTACTAGCTGGGATAAAGAATAACACAGCTTACAGAAAATGAAAGGTGAAGTAGTACTAGCTGGGATAAAGAATAACAGCTTACAGAGATCAGCGACCGACCAACAATCCCACTTCACTCTATAAACTCTTCCATGAGACCCTGTTATAGAAATAGAAAGGCTAATTAGAAAGGGATGTCATAGGAGAGGATATATGATGCTGCATTGAAGGTTGCAAACCTGTGAAATAAATGATTCAGCATCGTTTCTCCTAAGGAAATGTAACGAGTGCTTCGTAAGAGAGATCGAATGGTCTCCAAGGCAAACTTCACCGATATTATCCAGTACCTTTACTTGAATATAGGGATCCTTGGGAGGAACCATATCCTAGAAATGTTGCCAAAGTTCTTTAGTATGAATGAGCTCAAATGTAATATATGCGTTTAGAAATGTATACGAAAAACATGGGCGCATACCACGATCAAATCTATATCCAGCTCTGACATGTAGGACTCTATGGCTAAAGAGTGACCCTTGAAATACTCTTCTTCTGAATAGTTGAGCTTTTCTTGAATTTCCTGGGGAAGAACGGGACCAATTTTCCACCTCAGGCTCTGAATGATTTCAGCTCTATTATACCTGTTAAATTGCAGCAAATTTTGTTAGGGGAGGTACCGCATTTTCCTCGACTACAAAGATTATGTTACTCTCAAGATGAAGGAAAAAGGTTATTGTGTGTCGAGTGCTCTATACATGTAAGCCATGAGGCAGCGTTTGTTGCGAGCTATGGAGAGGTGATGTACAACAGCACCAAAGTGATCCTCATTTCTTGTTGTTTGAATGTCCAGGTTCTGCTCCTCAATTTTCCTGTATAAAAGAGCAGCGAGATTGTTATGACGTACAAATGCAGCACAAATATACAAGAAAGATGCAGCTTTTAGCAGGAGAAACCAATGACCTGATCAAGGACTGGAGTTGTAAGCTGTGCTCAGTACACTCTTTAATGACTTGATCAAATGTGTCATTCTACAAAATCAACAGACTATGTGGTCATGAATATTCATTTACAAAAAGTAAGCATCGTGAGGCATTTGATAAAGGATTAGTTCAGATAAAACTGAATATTCGAATCATTTTTAATATAAAAAGTAAGCATCATGAGGCATTTGATGAAGGATTAGCTCAGATAAAACTGAATATTCGAATCATTTTTAATTGCTAAGCTAAAAAGAGCAAATTTTTATATTTGGAGGATGGATTTTATCGTGTTAGGATGATATTATAACTTTATAACGAAAATCCATGTTAATTTCTACACATTGGATCCCACTTCATCCTTCCA